TTATTTGTGTAAGAGTTGTCCAGGCCAGCGCTCCACTGAGACTCAGGCTGGGTCTGATTCCCCACCTTTGCCTCATTGCCCTGATCTTCTCTGTTGGGAGGGGAACTCCCATTTCCTGGTGCTGTGCCACGAAAACACGAGCTTGCCAAGTTATTCTCTGTATGTGTGTTTGTGTGTGTATGTGTTGAACAAGCCAGAAGTACCAGAAGTAAAAAGATCCATTAACAAACCACATTTTTCAACATCCACAAGGATCCCCAGATTTCTCGTCTGTGGATTTCTCTTCCCCGTGCTTTACATTTTCGAGGGGAAAAAAGGAAACCAACAGAAAAACACAAGAACCCAGCTTAGCCGCCTCTAATCCAGTATGCACCTCAGTCTCCATGAAAGTGTTCTTGGGACGACAGCAGTATTTCCCTTGGCTGGGATGCCCAGCCTCCTGGCTCCTCTTGAGCTGCAGAGCTGTAGACATTCCGCTGAGTAGTTTGCAACCCTGCCTGCCAGGAAAACCCAATGTCTCCGTGGAGAAATCTCAGCGGAGGAGTTTGATACTCAATCAGGGATGGAAAAGAAGGGAGTTTATGCCTCCCTGAGACCAATTCCTTCCCTAAAAAAATGTTAGAGCAAGAGGAAAAAAAGGGGAAAGGGATCATATTTATACAGACATGGGCCCAGACACGCCAGTAGTGTTGGTGTGTGGTGTATTCGTTTGTGTCAGGATGGGCCCAAGTCGTGGAGACTGAAGCCAAATGTCTGTTTAGGTCAGTGGGAGTCTATCAGCCTTGGATCGGGCCTACTTTTGAGTCTGGAGCTGAACTTCCAAAAGTCTGGGCACGCTTGCATTTTCTGGTGGGGGGGGGCTTGTTTTGGCCTGGTTTTGAGATAGGAACCAGCTGCAAATTTAGGCCTCCAAACATGTTCTAGGAAGGAGGTTATAAAAGAGCCCCTTCTTGCCCAACACATTTATTCCCTGTGGGCCAGATTCTGACATCTTCATTAACACTGAGCAGAGCCTCACTCCAAGAGCAGTTACATTGATTTGAATGGGCCTATTCAAGGAGTCAGCAAGTACCTCATGTCAGCAAGGGTAGCACCATCTAAGGGTCACATCTGTTTGCTTCATTGGCATAAATGAGTTTTTTCTCCTTCCTGCTATTAGCACACACTGCTACGGAAAAAGCACATTGGGTTCCTTTCTTCCTGGCACCTCTTCAGCAAAATGCTGGTGGCAGATTGCTCCTTACTGCAAATTACAGGAGCTCTCAGCTTGTAGGTCCAAGAGCTAGAAAAATCTTCCCATGATAAAAGGAAGCTGTGATGAGGTCAGTTCCTTCCTGAGCATTTCTCTAAACACCTTTTGCCTGCTTTCCCTCCCAGACTGCAAAATAGTGCCCACACATGAAAGAAGAAGAAGGACTCCACTGCCTACCAACACCTTTTTGTGGCCACCCCTTCCTAGAGGTGATTCTCCTGTGAGCCACAGTCATACTCAGTCACTTCCAATACCACATCTGCTCTTTTGGATTACTTTGACAGAACCAGATAAGGGACAACTCCTGTGACTGGTGATAGAGGCAAACGACCTACCAGAGTAGTGCCTGTGATGGACAGGATGTATCAGCCTCATGTCTCGCTACCCTAAGCTCTGAGACATCTCTGAAAACCAGCTTTGAACTGGACACTTAGGCTGTTGGAAAGCTGAATGAATCCCAGACTGAGACAATTAGGTATACCTGATTCACACAACTTGAGAGTTGTGCTCCTCACTCACACTCACACTTTTGAAAACCTCACTGACAACACCCAACACCTGCACCTTCATTCTCTCCCTCCCAGGACAGTCACCAGCTCTTGGCCCTACCTGTTTCAGAGATGACTAATTACAGGACATCAAAGCAAAGCAAAATTCATCCCCTCTGGTTTCTAACACCATAACCACAGCAGGACACCTCCCAGTCATGTGACTGAGGTTTGTCACAGGTAGATTTGCACTGTGATGTTAATATGGATCACCAGAACTATTTGAATTACACCTCCTGGGAAACAAGGCTGCTTAAACAGTGTGGCTGTGACTGTAAGGACAGGTCAGCCAGTGTCAGAGTCTCTTTCCAGTTGTGAAGGATACTAAATGTGCAGCTCCCACAGGCCAGCATGTGCAGAATAAAGGCATGTGATTTTTTCTAGTGTCAGCAATAGTCTGGTACCTGATAGTTGTGTGCAGTGTTGCTGTGAACCCAAGCAATCTATATTTTCCTTACTGAAAAGGAGGGAAAAAAATCCCCACCCTTGTAAGAGTCAGCTTTCCTCACCATTACCATCAGTTAGCGTGATTTTTTAACTCATTCTGTATGAAACTCCTCCTTTCCTGCCATTTTTTCTTGGACTTATTCTACACAGTGTTCTCAGATATTACAAACAGGTATCCAAGAGTCTGCTGCTCTTCCAGCAGGCACTTTAGAATTTCATGTGAGCAGCAAATTCTCTGAATCCCTGGTCTCCCTCAGAAAACTGACTCGACATTGTAATGAGAGTGATAGACTGTTGTTTGTCAAGAAAGACCTTCTGGGAGAGGTTAAGAAGATGATAACCTCTGCTCTTGTAGGTTCTACTCTGAATGGACTGATGAGCCAAAACCAGTTGCCAGTCCATGGAATTATAAGGTCTATAGGGGAACAGCTGAGTTCTGGAAAACTGCTGGCAGCAAAACTGGGATTATTGGTCATTTATAGGTTGGGAAGGATCACAGTGGCAGGACAAGGAAGTTGGCAGAACAGCTTGTTTGCACACATTTCACATGCAGGAATGATTTTTATATGAGCAAAAGTTCTTCAGGGGATGGGTCCTACTTAAGACTTGAGATCTGTGCCCACTTTAGAGGATGTGGAGGGATGGGATTCTGGTGTTAGTCTTGGTCTAATGTTCCCAGAGTCCAAAGACTTTGCAATGAAAGTTCTGAGTGAGCTGGAGACTAATATATGTGAACACAGGGAGTACTGGGGCACTTTTTGGAGATGTAGAGCAGGTTAAGCTGTTTTGTAAGATACAACTAATGAAACACCATTGGTGCCCTGAGGAGAAAGGAAGGGAATTGTATTATTATTATTACAAATGCAGCCACTGAGGCATAAACAAAACAACTTGCAGAAAACCAGACAAAGGAGGTTGCTGCAGAATCAGCAGTTTCAACTCAGGTTTCCTGTGTCCCAAACTAGCACTTGAACCATCTTCCCTCTCTGTGAGAGAGAAACAAGTATCAGAGAGCAGAGGGAGTCTCTACATTTTTCTAGCCCAAGACAGAACTGTGTCCATTGTTGGGACTAGCCCCCTAGGAGGAATTATTTCTATTCAGTTTGTGTGTGTCACAGCCAGATAATGCACTGGGTGGTATTTCCCTCTCTTCCCCCAATCTTTCTCTTTTATGACCACATGACTTCACCCCCTGTGTGAGTGACAGTACCCATTAGACTAGACTCTGATGTAAACCAGCTGTGTGGAGAGAAGGGGAGGAAGGGAGTGGGGAACAGCAATTTAGAAAACAATTAAGAACATCAATTCCAATTCATTTGCTTGGCCAGGATAAGTAATTTCTAAGAGGTAACTTGATCTGCAGCGGACTGAGATTAAAGGCGAACTCCACTATCTCTAGTTTACAGTCTGGAGGAATTTGTTTTAACTGGTTACCAAGGAGGCTGCATGGAAAAAAAAAAAAAAGGAAAAATAGAGAACTTTTGCCTAAAAATGTCTAAAAAATCCTCCTGATTTCTTCATTTAAAGAGCACGCATGGATTTATGAACTCTCTGAGTGTATGGCTGATTTGCAAGGCAGGAGGAGCAGTTCAACTTTTGGAAATAGAATCCATGCCTGCAGGAGCTTGGAGGTGCATTTTATCAAAACCAATTATGCCAGTTTACACTGCTGTTAAGATTTTGGTGTAAAGATAGACTAGAAACATGAGACAGAAGCAGATGCAGCATTCTGCAGAGGAAGCAGCAGGATCTGGAGGAGAACACAGTGAGATGAGCACCAGGCAGCCCCAAGTGTTCTTTTACACTGCTGCACTCTCTGCTGTGAAAGGCAACTCCCTGCACTGCTTTTCCACTGCCCTGAGTGAAATGGTGGTGAAACACTTGGACACCTCTCAGAGGTGCTGTGAGACTCCAGGAGTAAATACACCAATATCCCTTTGCACACTGAGAGTCTGAACCCAGGCATGCCAGAGCAAGGGCTTGTGACCCAAGAACACCAAGTGTTCTGTATTCACACTGGCATGTGAGATGATACCAAAAAGAGAGTATGTGAGTGGGAGAGCCACTGATTCTTTACCATGGAATTTCCCCCTCTAGGGCTCTCCCTTTCTACCCTCCTCAGGCCTCAGCACTTTTCACAACCCTGTGTCTCAGTGTTTGCCCCAACTCCTGCAGGCCTTGATCCCTCACTCTTGTTTTGTGAAATACAGTGCTGAAGTCAAGATTCCCTCCGACTCCAGACCATCAAAATGTTTCTTAGACCATTGGAGTTATCATTGGAAAACCCTGGTACTGCTTCTGAGCATCTCTCAAAAACTGCCACCATTGTGCTTGCAGGGACATAGAGGCCACAATGTGTCTCTGGATCTGCTGTGAGGAGCCCATGAGTGGGGTAAAAGCAGACATGGGAAAAAACAACTGTGAGCTGGCTCTAAGTTCAGAGTTGGCTTTGAATCTGCGTTTCCCTGGCTGGACCCAAACTTTTACCTCTCCTGTGCAACTCTGTTTGTCTTAGGGACAAACCACATTTCTGCCATCATGAGACAGCCAGCCTGCACTTTATACAGCTGCATCCCTGTAAGTCAGCTAAGGCTCTGGGGTGATGTAACCACCTCAGTGGAAATAGGAGCTGAAGAATGTGATGTGATGAATTTTCCTGGACCACCAAATAAATTAAAAAGTAGGCTCCCAGCCCAGAAAGGTTGCCCTCCCAAATAAACACAGCCCAGCCTCCCTTCCTCACACACACTTACCTTCTTCCATACCAGGAAGCTGAGCTCCTCACAGACTCCATTACAGACCCAGAATGAACAGGTTCTTCCAGCCAGTCAGCATCTCCCATGTGGTAATTGCTTTGGTGTGGGCATCTGAGAACAAGACACAACTGTATATACCAGAAATATTCTCTTTGCATAAACTTCTCAGTAGACCTACTTTTGTCCTGTTGCCAGGAAATGTATTTGGGGCCTCTTGCTAACTTCACATTTCTTTGATGAGAGGGGCATGGGCAGTTTGTTCCAACAGTTACAGGGGAAAAAGCAATGAGAAGAACTGAGAAACTGGAAATCCCTCTCTAAGCACATCAGCTCTGTCACAGCACATGAGACCGCCCTACTCCACCATCCTTCTTGTGACAGCCACACTTCTAAGGGTTGGAAAAAAATGGGGGAAACCCATCTTGCAAATGTGCTTCTCCAGAGCAGGGAACGTCAAAGTAGACAACCTTACAAGCGGAGACCGTTTATGCAGCACAGTGCAGTGAACTCCAGGGTGAAAGAGGGGCCATTCCACAACCAAGAGAAATGAGCAATGTGGGGAATCAGGAAATCATCAAAACCGGTTGGTTGGGTGGGGCAGGAATTTAAGAAAGCAAAAATGGAAGTGTGGCCAGTAAACGTGAGTTAACACCTTCCCTCTGCCAAAGAACACCACTAGGTCTGTAGTGACAATGAATGGCCAGGGCCAGGGCCTTGCTCTCATAATCTGTACTGACAATGAATGGCCAGGGTCAGGGCCTTGCTCTCATAATCTGTAGTGACAATGAATGGCCAGGGCCAGGGCCTTGCTCTCACAATCGGCTCAAAAACCTGCAAAGTGGGACATGAACATTCTGTGCCCAGTTCAGGTCAGGATTGCTTTGCAGCATGAGACAGGGCATGTTGCTTCCCTCGGCCCCAACTTGTGTGTGTACCCTGGGTGAGTACTCACCTCCCTCCTGAGGCTCAGTAACAGGTTTTTAATGCCTGGTTCTCTTAAGAGGCAACGTGACCAAGACAGTGCAAAGCACTTTATTTTTGTCCTGGAGAAACCATCCTCCTCAGAGTCCCTCACTCATTAGGACACCAGCCGTTGTAATCCAAGCTCCTTTGATGGAAGGGGTAAGTGGGGAGATTGCCAAAGGGAGGATTAGCTGATGGATGTCTTGAGCTGCAAGGGTGTCTCATACGGATTTGTGCAGGATTTTCACCTCAGCTGGCCTGGCTGGAACTCCTGTCCTACCATACCAAGAGACTCTCCTTGCAAGCCCTGCTCTGCCTCCAGCAACAGTGAGGCCCTGCCCAAGGGCTGGTTGCATGCTGTCATTGTCAGCTCCCTTGTAAAGGAAAGGTGCACAGCATCCCAAAGAAAACATAGCCCTAGCCTATGAAAAACTTACCTGCTGTACACACAAGGAAGGAGCAGCTTTGTCCAGAGGCAGGACTGACTCAGGAGGGATTCCCAACTTGGCTACTCAGTGATACAATGCTTGGGACTATTGTTTTCCCTTCCTCAGGACGGATTACTTTTGCTTCTCTCTGCACTGCACCCTTTGAGACCTATGAATGGAAGTGCTGTAAGCTACTTCGTGCTTTTAGGTCTAACCTTAAGTAAAGACATTTAGAAGGCACAGTTCCAAGACATAGTCCTAGACCATGTGATAGGCAGCAGGCTTCTTGCTATTCTCCAGGAAAAAGGAATAGCACGGTCCCTGGTTTTCTCTTGTCTGTGACTCTGCCTCCTCCTCACCTTTGTCTTGATCTTTGTTTTCTGCCCCTGTGCTTCTATGGATACATCAGGCTATTTGTGTGCACTATTTGTTGGGGGACAGAAAGGAAGGACAATCTGCAAAGGCCAGTTAGACCCACTTCTGCATTCTCGAGTTATGTGAGAATTTTCATTTTGAAAGAAAAGTTTTCTAAACCTCCACAGTGGAATTAAGCCTTAAAGGGTGTTAACTAAAAACACAAGATGATTATTTCCTGAAATGTCATTATTTGAAAACCATTATTACAATAGGGTGTGTGAGGATGAAAATAGTCCAGCCTGTCAACTCTCCTGCTTCCTACATCACCACATTTGCATTTCACACATGCCCAGCATGAGGCCACTGTCTTCTTTCTGGCTCCTGAGGAGCCAGAGGCTGTTCTGTCCACTCTTGACAGCCAGGCAGGGTACAAAGCTGGATGGGAGCGAGGCACTCTGTGCTGCTGTGTGCTGCCAGCTGCCCCACAGGTTCTTTATCCCACAGGATTACAAACCCATCCACGGGGGGGTGTCCACTCTTTTGTCACAAGACCCAGTAGAGCAGGACATAAAACTGCTTGTAATGTTATTATTTAGATGTTCCCTTGGGTTGTTTTCAGCAGAAATGTGAGTTGCTTGTTTTCAAGCAGAGGATCAGTTACAAAACCAACACGCAGCAGAAAGGCTTTTTTGAGAGCAGGGGCTCTCTTTACCACGTTAATTTCAGGGAAAGTTATTTGGGAGGAGGGAGGAAGTAGTTAAATCCTTGTTTACCATGCTGGAAACCCAAATCCCCTCGGTTTACACAAATAAGAGAGACAATGGCTCAGTGGCCTGGGCTCAGGAGAGCTGGGTTTGTTCCCTGCTCTAACACATACAACTCTCTAAGGCCCCTCTTCCCTCAAGATGAGATCCAACTCATTTAACATTGGTCCCAGCTGAAGGCCAAATCACTCATCAGAAGTGGAAGACAGGATATTCCTAATGTCAGATTTGTCCAGTAGCACTGGATGTACGGAAGTGTCTTGCAGAGGTACTGGCCTTGCTTCCCTGATTATTAAGCAGCTGTAACAACCCACTGGACTGAACAGCTGAAGTAAGACAAGATGAATGTACTCTGCTTTTTGGGGTTCCCATAGATGCAATGAAGCTACCTAGTCCTTCCCCACATGCCAGTGGGGTGGAAAGGATCCATGTATACACTAATTATTACAGCCTGCTCTGATGCTGAAATGCTGGAGGACATAAAAGCCTGACTGTAAGCAGATATATCTACCTGAGAAGGCAGTGATGGAAAGCAGTCCATTGTTCCTAAATCCTTTCTGTTCGGTACACACACCTGTCCTGGCTGTTGTATGGCTGGTTTGGATCACCACGATGTGCTCAGCCATCTTTTGTCAGGTGATATTTCTCTCCTTGATGTAGAGGTTGCAGTCTGTTGATGGAGACAGGATAAAGCTGCCTGTGCTGAAAGAGCCCAAAAAAAGAAATTATTAGTTCCTGGTCTCATCTACATTAGGGCCAAGGGTTTTCTCTGCCTATGGAGATCAGAATTGCTGCATGCTGCAAACTGAAGGCACTACCAGACATCAACTGAGGATCTACAAGTCTGAGAACAGAGAATCCTACCGAAGCAGTGAAATGACTTGGGTTAGGGTGAGAAAATACTCTCTGCTCAGAGTCCTTCTGCCTTGGCATCCAGACAGTCAGGGATGAAATACAGCCTAATCACAGGCTGTGACCACATCAGTGGCTCTACAGACATACAGACACCATCCAACAGGAGCCTCCTCAATGGCCCTCATTTTGCCTTTGCTAAGTGGTCAGGGCTGCCTCTCTCACCAAATCAAGGCAGCCCAAATACGGTTCCTCTGGGAACTTTAATGTTTTACTGAATCACTTAGTTTCTCTTGATGACTGCTGCTTCAGAGTCTCAGTTGCCAGGATCCCAGTGGGGATTTTGTTGATGGGGGTTTATTGACTTCTTGTTACCTTGAAGTTACTGCAGTGCCAGGAGTAACAGGTAACTCCTGGAGTCTGTTTATTTTATGGGTTGGATTTTTAAGAGTTGGCCAATGGTACCCTCATTTTAGGAGAAGTCACTTGTTTATTTAGCAATGCACTCACATGCTGATCCATAAATAAAATCAGAGTGTTATTTAATAAGACCCAACAGAAGGTCAGCCCTGGTTCATTGGTAAACTGATAAATCCAGAGTGCAAAAAGCACCCCTCGGGAAACTCATCATGTCTATCTGAGGGAGGTATCAACCAAACATCAGTGTGATTTTGTACTCCACAGAGTTCTCAGGAGTTTCGGTCCCTGTACCTTCTGAAAGGAAAATGCTAAAAGCTCCAAGATGGAGTCACTGCCAACAACCTTCACTTTGGACCTCTGAAGAGGCTTTCAGAGTTGTAAGATTTTTACAGCTGGGGCTGTAGTTCTGAGTTCTGCATCTGTGGGAGAAAGAACAGAATGTACTGAAGACTGGTCTCACAGCAGGGTCCAGGAATTCCCACACACTGGAGCTGAAATTCATCTCAACTCCTATAAACACCTAAGTATTACTTGTCTGGACCTAAGACAGTCCTGTAGGCTTCTTCTACAGTTGAGTATATGGGATAACCATTGCAGGAGGGAAGAAGCCTTCTGGGAGGAGCTGATCTCTCCCCACTGACAATCATGGGAAGTCCTGACAATTACCTTAAGCTCATACAAGTATCTCTTAGATGTCCAAATTAGGCGAGAAGCATCTCACCCCTGGAGCACCCTGTGATCGTGTGCAGCCATAGAGAAGGGAGCCACAAGGTCCTAAGGTCATTTTAGATGATCCTGTGTAGCACATTACAAAATCCTCACATGATTGAGAGGCTTAAGATACAAGCAGCATTAATTCAAAGAGGCTGGGACAGATCTGAGTGGGTTTTACAAGCGAGACATGGCAGGTGTCACCCAAGGGATTTGCCATGGAGTCCTGGGTTGGAGCCAGGCTGAGCAGATGACATCCAGTGCTGATCCAGCAACAGTTCCCTTGGCAAACAGTTTCTTGGTGTGGCTGGGGATCCAGATTACACAGCTGTCCCTGTTCCACTGCAGCAGATGCCTTGTGAAAAGCTGGCAAGCCACACATATTCCATGGACCACAGGTCACCTTGGCCAGTACAAACTGCATATATTCCACATATATCTGTATACATGTGTAAAATGGCTAACCATGTATGTACACCCAGAGGGGAATCTTCCAAACTAAGATCTGTGATTTTTGACTTGATGATGCTGTTTGTTATTCTGTTATGGGAAGAGTATGGGAGGACTTCCCCTCTGTAGTATTGCCCCAGCAGCCACGGCAGCGGGAACTGAAGCTGCTCCCAGCAGTGTCAGGCTGCATCTGCACACGGAAGGCTGCTCAGAAAGAGCTGGGTACCACTTGGCAGAGGCTTGGCAGCACCTGTGGCATGAGTGACACTGAATCTCTGCTAGAGATCTGGAAGTGGCAGCCTCTGAATCGGGATTTTACGGTCACAGGGCATTGTCAGAGGTTAGGGAGAGGGGCACAATCAGGCATAATGTACCCACAAATCAGTTCAAGTCCCTGTGAAGTGGCACAGTTGAATGGAGCTTTCAGAAGGACTTTTTTATTGCTTGGATCTTTAATACACCTGTTTAGAATGGGATGAATGAGTGTTCTTCTCCACTGACTGCAAAGAGAGCCTAGACAATTACCTTAGATGAGCCATCTATATTTATGTGTCCTAGATCAAGTGAGATTATTTGTACCTAAGATGCCTACGTTCCCCTGAAGGGTTTGCAAAGACATTCTAGTGCTAAACTTTGATTGAATTGGCCAAATGCTTCAGAAATACCTCTAGATGCCCACCTCCACTGGCAGGCACTTAACTGCTTTCAAATCTGGCCTCCTGGAAAATTCTGAAAATGCAGTCTTGTGTGAAGCTGAGATTCCTACATGTGAGATCTTCAGAGATTTACAGGCATCCAAAGACACCAAAAGGTTTCTGCTAAGCCACAGTGAACTTAGAGGACTTCTGCATCTTCAAATGCCTCTAAAAACCTTTGTTTCAGGAGTCTGAAAATACCACAACAGGCTGAAATGCCTGCAAATTCAACATTTCTTGGAGGAGAGATACAGGGAAGAGAGACTTTTCACCAATTTTCTGTTTGGTGGTTTGGTTTTGTTTGTTTGTTTGTTTGGTTTGTTTTGTTTTGTTTTTTTTTTTTTTGTTTTGTTTTTTTTTTTTGTTTTGTTTTTTTGTTTTGTTTTTTTCCGCAGGCATACACTGGGTTGTTCTTCCAATGCTTTGAAAGGACCAGAAGCTGTTTATGTTCATAAGCACAATGCTCAGCCTGAGCCTTCTCTGGACAACATTCCAGGTTGGCCTAGTAAGCAGGCTAACCATTACTGTGCTGTTTTAATCTGCTCCAAGCACAACCAGAATCAGTTTATGTCTGCCTGAAAAACATTCTGTAGTTCCTTTAGTGGCCTGGTTTGTACAGGTATTAATCACTCACAGCCACCACTTGGGTAAAGCTGTAATGCTGCTCAGATCACCCTTCTGTGCCTCAGTTTCCTTATCCTGAACGAAATAAAACCATGTTTCAAGGCCTAGGGATGTATAGTGCCATATAAATATTGTTATTTATGGTGATGATGAGAACGTGAGCTTTGTTTGGTACAATGGCCTGGGAGTGCCTACTTGACATCATTTGGAAAAGACAGGTATTAACCTCTATGTCTGAAATACAGCATGTTGTTACTGCTCTCAGATAAACAGAATTACCTCCTCTTAAAATCAAAGGTACTCTGCTTTACTTCAGTGAGATGTGGTGATGTCCACAGAGAACAAATCACTTTTGGCAAGTGGAGGCAGGATTTTCTTGGAAGAAGTAGGAAGAAGCATCAAAGGAAGAGAAGAAGGATGGGATGCAGCACAACTGGTTTTAATTACATGTAAGAGTCAAGTTCCTCTGGACAGCCCTACTGGCTGATATGCCATTGTAAATGCTCTGGGGAGTCTGGATTAAGAGAATGGGAAAAACGAGTGGATGGCACAAAGGTACTCAGGCACTCAGTGGAATAACTGGTAAAGCCTTTGCCAGTTGGCATTAGGCAGGGATATATTGCTCCCATCAATGCAATGTCCTGGTACTATGACTTTGGTTTTTAGTGGGTGTTTGGTTATCCAAGTCCATGCCTTCTTCCAGTTTTGATCTGCTCAGATCACACTGAATTCCTGTTTAACAGTGAAGATGCTGAATTGGTCGTAACAAGGATGGGCTGTCATTGCACAGCCACTGGAGAGAGAGGAGGCTCTTGTTTCAGTCCATTTGGAATGCCTGAGTTGCCTTAGGAACACAAACAGATTGAGCTCTGGCGGTTGCTGGAGCTGCACGGCTGGGATGGCTCTTCAGACAGCTGGAACAATTGCTCCCCTACACTTTGTTGGGTTGCAGTGGCATTTGGGGGCTACATCTCTTTTGCAAGAAGGCTTGTAGTCATGAACAAAGGTAAGCAGGAGCAATGGACCTGACCTGGGGACACCACAGTGGTGGTGGCACGGCAGAATCAGGATTTACCGTGCTTCGGCCAAGCTTTTACTTGAGTAGTGGTTGCCTGGGAGAAATGTCTCATTGAAGGACAGATTGGGCATTTCCCTCATCACCTGTCAGTGGTGGATGAGCACTTGAGCTTGAAGGACCCTCAGTGTTCTGTGAACCTTGTCTCAGACAGGGGCTTGATCTTGGATTAAATTTCTGGTGACATCAAGATCGGGAACAAGTCTTAAATGAGCACCAAACAAATGGGATTGAAACTCCCTCTGCAATCAGATGATCGTTCTTTAAATTAATGGTTTAAATAACCTGGAAGTTGAGGCAGAGCATCAAAGAGTAACTGATACATAGATGATTTCTAAGCAAGATCTTCTCTTTGAAATTTGTGAATCATTTTTATATACTATGGTAAAGTGCAGAGAGCCTGAACTTTTAAGCCAACAATGGCCCTTCCCCAAATTAAAGGATGGCCTGAACTAGTTGATTTGGAGTTCTTGAATAAAAATATACCTTGGAAAAGGAGGAAATCAAAATATTATTAAGTCTGCAGCAATCTCATGCATTTAAGCTCCTGAAGGGCTTGTGTTTCTTTACTCTTGAGGTTCATTATGTCACCAGAAAAGCTTTACTATTTTACTGTGGAAGTAACATAGCCATGAAACATTAATTTCCAGGAATGTGGAAACCATGAAATATGGGTTTTTCTACTAAATTAAGATTTTACTTTTCTCTCTTCTCACATAGTTAAGGGAACCAATTTTCATTATATGTTTATGTATATGCATTCTGGAAATTCAAATAGGAAAGATATAAAAAACACAGGAAGAACATTTTTACCCTGAAAAATGTATTTCACTGGTAACCACACCAGTCATTTATATTCTGCTTTTCATCCTAAACCACTGTGCATTCTATATCCATCTTGGAACCACATCTCTCATTACTGAACTGCACCCACTCTGGTGTGTACATGACCAGCTGATTTATTCTGCCCTGTGAGATGTGGCAGCTGTTTAGATTTGTATAGAATTCTTTACTTCCCTATTCCAACAATGCTGTTCTCTCACCATTGCAGTGACCAGCACCACTAATTTATGCCTGGCACAGACACTGTACAAGGATCTCCTGCAGTCCAAGTATTCTGCACCATGGCAGATGTCTCTGGCTGGAAGAAAAAAGGGTGAAGGACAAATGAATTTGTAATCCATGTAGAGGCCTTTAAAATATTCTCCTCTTACTGCTAACCAGTGTTACTAATTTTAGGACTGATACCTTTTCCTGAAAAGACAAATGACCAAGCCTGACAGAGCTCAAGAAGTGTTTGGACAATGTTCTCAGGTACAGGGTGGGATTCCTGGGGTGTCCAGAAGCTGGACTTTGATGATCCTTGTGGGTCACTTCCAACTCAAGATATTCTATGATTCTAAGATTCCTTCAACTATCTGCATGTACTCACATGCACACAAAGTCCACATCAGTTTTTAGCAGCCTTGGCAGAGTGAAAGCAATGTAAGTGGCTCAAAGGGAACGTGCAGCCCTTAGTTCTGGGGACAATTCCAGAATGCAAGTGTTCACCTGAGGTTTCTAACAATCTTACATACTAAATTTGTGTCCATTACCATTTAAACAGAATGGAAGAATTAGCCAAAACATCCCAGAAGCATCTGTGTTATGGGTTTCTAGGCTATAAGACACACCAGAATATTCACCAAATCACAGGGTGGTTTTCCTTAATGCTACAATTAGCAATGGAACATAAACAGCAGAGTTACAGGATAAGATTTGATGGCAGAAAGCCCTCTGCCATAAACTGGAAATTCTCAGCATGTGCAACCATATTGCTGGAGAAGATGAGTTATGCAATTAAAATCAAAACTGGAGATTTGTTATCAAAGGATGGCTATGTGCACTAAAATCCAGCTGAGAGGTTCCCCGATCTCAATATCTTCAGGCTTCTTTTTTAGTTAATCTAACACAGCTGACAGTATTTGACACAGCCAGTTGTGCCTACAGTCATGTGAGGGATGTTTTATAGAACTCCTCTCCATCAGAACACGCAGGTTTGTCATTATGCAACTCTTTATAAAGTCTAAAAAGCTTTGCAGGAATTGCATTTTAGGGGAGTAAGACGTGATAAAAATTCTGACAGTCAGAACAGTTCTTTCTAACATCACCATTAAAATTTTGAACAAGCCTTAATAACATTTTAAGTGCAATTTATTTTAAATGTTCAATTCAAAAGAAATATTTTATTTTGCCTTAATAAAAAAAAAAAATTAATCAACTTGAAAAACTGTGGTTTTGTGGTTTTCCTTCATAAATAATTTCAAAATTCTCCCTTCCTGCCTCTATTCAGAACGAAAACAGAATTTCAAATTCTGAATTTGTTTGCAAAATAAATCTCTGTCCTCCTACAGCATTTTCAGTGCCTGAGTGAAGAGGACAAGAGGTTTAATGTATAATTTCTGTGAGCCTTAAGGAGATGGGATGTGTGTTAGTGTTTTCAAATCCAGGCTTATACAGCTGCTGTTTGAGTATAAATCATAGAAGCTTTTGGTTGCACTAACACCCTCTGCAGTTTAGCACAGCTGTTAATTAATACAATACTGTATTAGTTCTTCTTATAGTCTTACTATTAACGCCCCATGAAATCCCATTAGCTCTGCATATGGTGCCAGACTTGTTCCCAATGTGGGAAAGAAAGAAAGGCACAGTGGTATGAATAATAAAGAGAAGCTTTCAAGTGGTTTCCACTGTGAACATTTTGAAAAAAATATTTTCCAGAATGTAATTTGTGGGGCAAGCTTTTCACAAAATTTCAATGCAAACATGCATATATTTGTCAGCTAAGTTCTCCCCCAGAGTGTGAAATCCCTTATGCACCACTATTGTTCTGTGGCAGAAACATCAGGAAGATGAAGTAGTTCCTGAAAATGGAAAATTAACCAGGTTGGTTTATTGTCCAAATTGACAGAAATGAAAAAAATAAATTAACTGCATAGCTGATGCCAACAAAAAGATAAAACTTCCCTTAGATTTTTGGTTTAAATATTTTAAAGTACAGACAGTGAGAACAGTCAAAATTTGGGTTCAGTTTTCCAAGAAGTTATTTGAATTTCCTGCTTCAGTGATCTGACACAACCCTCTTAAATTCCAAGAAGATTTAAGTGCTATAGTAAAAACCAGGCTTATTTAACACCTCATACAGAACACTCCAAAATGTATTAGCAACTACAGAAAATTCAGACCTAATTATTTTCTACTAGTTAAGTTTTATCCAGTATTGACTCCTTAATGAAAGAGAGATCCAACAAGGAGCTGTTAGAAAGACTTTTAAAAATGGAAAGAATGACGAAGCGGGCAGGATTCAGAAGCAGACAATTCCCTGGAGAAGCTGACTCCATTGTAATTCTCTCCTGACCCTTCAGGAGTTGCTGCCCTAGAGCTGCAGCAGCAGCAGTGCATGGTTAGGAGTATTCCAACAGATGCTTTTCTTCTTCCCAGTCCAGTGGTTCACCCATAGTCCAGTCTCTGCAGTTCCACTAGGCAATCAGGAATGGCCAGGGCCTTTCTGCATGGCCAACATCCAGACAGGGACACACTGCTCAGGGAATCCCTCCTGCCTCTCCTCCCGCAGGATGGTGAGCCCGCTCATTTCAATGAGGCTGTGGAGGATGTTCAGGTCTCGGATCACGCTGCTGTCCAGGCAATCCAGGGTACAGCCCTCCCTGGCTACATTGTCCTTGAGAATGATAACACCATTAGCCTTCAAGCCATTCTGGCACCGGATGAGAAACTCCAGGAGATCTTTATCTGTCAGATATCCTACAGGTGAAAAGATGGAAAATAGATCACTGGTAACCACCCAGACCCCCCCCTGTACACATCAGAATGGTGCCTTGACCTGAGTCTCCACACTCTGTTCATTGCAGGAGTTCTAGTCCCGACAGATTTAATTACGAAAAGTTGGGCAAATCAATGAGATCAACAGATATAAACTCAAATCAAGATTTAGGAACCATGTTAGTAGTAGCAACAGATGTGGACAGTGGAGAAAATACTGGGTGCTGAAGGGTTCTTTAATCTGGTGGTTAAAGCCATAATAAGAATCAGTGGCAGGAAGCTGGAGCCAGACAAATTCATATTGGGAATAAGTGACAACTGCTTAACAGTGTAAGCAATTACCCATTGGAAACTACCAACAGAAGTGGTGTTTACCACCTCTTGAAGACCTCAAATCAAGTGGTTGAACTTCTCAAGATATATTTTAATTGAACACAAACTAGTGACTCAGTACAAGGGTAAAGAAATGAATATAATGGTTTGTGATATAGAGTAGGTCAAACTAGATAATCTAACAGGTAATCCAGACAATCCAAATAGGTAATAACTAATCCATTCTGTCTTTTAATGCTAAAAATCTCTATGACTTTGTGTAACATTATGTACCCTTCAATGGAGTTCTGGATCAAAGATGCAACGAGGAATGCAAGACCTGCTAATTGAACTCTTTGTACTACTCCATACTTCTGGGATTTCTGCATATAGGCATACATTTATAAGTAGTACTTTTTTCAATATGTTATGGAGATGCTGGGTTTTATCCTTCCTTCTCAAAGATCAGGACTTCTGTTATGCTGAGGACAGTGGTGTAGGGCTCAGAGAAGATCAAAATGAGAATTCTCATGTGTGAAACATGGATTAATGACTAAGATAATTACTATTTCCTTGAATTTGATGGAGGAAGAAGATTCAGATACGTGTCTATGTCAAACAAAAGGCACACAAAGCTGACCAGCAGAGCGTGGGACAGGTCTGAGCTCATTCATCCTCAGGTTGACTCAGATTTGCTCAAAAGATGAGACAAGAGCTACATTTACTGCAATGACTCGTTATTCAAGAAAAGCAAAAACACAAAGGAAAATGATACTGGTTTGCTTGTACAGCTGTAAAGACTTGTTCTAAGCAGCTCAGTTTCATTACACTTTAAGACTGTGTGTAAAGGACAAGTAAGTGTTCCTGAATAAAACCATCTCCTGTGCTAATCTCTCTACCTTTATCTTTCTTTTTGTCTAGCAAGAAACTATCTCCAGTGTTTTGGATAAAAGGAGTTGCTCAGACGTCCTCTTGTCCTTTAAAATAATGCCTTCTGCCAGCTGCAAATGCATCATGGACACTTTGATCCACAGATTAGGAGAAAACCTTCTTTCTGCAGCAAGTTTGCTAGGAAAAATTATTTTCTTTCTTACACATGTAAGAAACATGGCTCACATTATCTGATTGCCAGTCTGTTGCTCTAAATGCTGCAGGATATTCACTGCAGCAGAAACATCAGATATTTCTTATAGGAGAGTCTGCTGTGGGACATAGCTAAGGGAATCTGTTTAATAAGTATCAGTGCATGTATAAGACATGATCTGATTTACAGGCATTGGTGTATCTGTCTGCAGCAAGGGCAAGTAAGAAGCAGGATTCCTGCTCAAGAAAACCCATATATAAGGCCTCCTCCTCAGCTGCACCTTAACATCCAGGCTGCTTTCCAGGAACCTTCCTCCAGTACCTCACCTGAAAAAAACCACTTAATTTGTACCCAGTGTGCACGTGGCTTGGGGGAACTCTCAGAAGCCTCTTGTGATATTTTAGGAAGCAGTCCCAAAAGTCTGAGAACCTCCCTTTACAGCTGCACCATTCTTGAGCATAAACTTGAGCACAGGCTGTATATTCTCTGAGACGTGGGGCTGGATGAATGATGCTGAACTAACCTGAAACCCACTGAATCCAGATGACGTCGTATCTCTGTGGGGCTGGAGTGAATTCCTGGAGGCTTTTGCAATAATACATCTCTACTCTGTCCTCCTTGCCCTGCAGGTAGTTCGGGACCTCGGCCAGGAAATTCTCCATCATATCCACCAGTTCCACGCTCTTGAAAACCGGCAGCAGGACGTGTTTGCTGATACGACCTATCCCAGAGCCGCAGTCCAGGGCGCGGTTGGTGCCGGCCTTCCCCACCCCCTGTGGGACACGAGAAAAGAATCTGAAATCTGAAAAACACCACACCTGAAAGATCACAGCAACTGTGTTATCCACTAGGGCCTTTAGCCCACCAGATCTTGTCTCCTTTTTTCTGCAGGGCTGTTGCAAGATTGGTAAGAATCAATCCAGCCCTGGGTACCGCTGTGTGAGCCGAGCTGGGCTGCCACATTCCCAGGCTGCTGCTGAGGGGATTTCCTTACTGGATTTTAAGTTTTTGCTTCGTACAAGAAGAGAAAAAGTCTTTCAGAAGCTCCTTGCATTCTCAGAGGATCCACTGCTCCTTGTAAAGTCCTTGCAACTTCAAATATTCACACCTGACAGCCGACTGCATGGCTAGATAAGCCTCATTCTGAGCCCTGTAAAGGCTTAACAGAAAAGGAAGCATATCCCAAATAGTGCATGCAAGCAGTAACTTCTGCAGCACAGAACTCCCAAGGTTCCCACAGACATTTCTGCAGATACACAAAATCCCTGGGATCAGGGATGCAGTTCTTAAAACAAGCTGTGTTTGAACAAAGATCTTGGAGTGGTAGGTAATGTGTGACAGCTCACAAAGTTTTGGCTGGAGCATATACAGAATTTCTTTTAGGCATAGCAACAAGAAAGATGATTGAATAGATTTTGCTTAACTGTTCCTTTTTTCTTCATAAATGTCATCTTTGGACAGAGATCAGACATGAAAAAACATGGTACAAAGGCTAAGGCGATGAGAAAATAATAAGTGCTGTAAAAGGAGCTTTATAATGAAAGCTGTATTTCACCCCTAAAGCTTCCATTCTAGCTATAAAAAGGCTCTTAAGAGCCTGCTGTTGTCCTGTAAAACAGAAATTCTAAGTCTGCACAGGCACTGAGTGTGGGATTGGAGCTCCCCTGGCCAAAGTTATCTGTTGAACAAATACATTAAAAGCAAATGTAAACACCTTTTCCCTGTCCCCTGGAACCGAGCTGAAGTGAAAGCTATGGGCCAAAGTCCCTGCTGCAACTTCACTGCTCTGAAAGGAAATAAGCCCAGGAAAAGTCTTGCTCTTCCTACTTATTGGGAGACCCCCTCTGTAATGATCAAGCATAAATCATGTAACTCACACTTTTCTGGCCTTGCTTCAGTGGGTAATTCAGTAGATTATTAAGGTCAAAGGACAGCACTGTCAATGACATGACTATGAATAGCCCAGCTGAGCATCCGATTACATGGAGTAACTGTAGAAAGAGCACAGGCATCTCAAGGGCTCTCACCAGTCCCCAGGGCTGCTGGTCCCAATTTGTATACCAGGAAGATTAATCTCCTGATGTGTGCAAGAGTCCACAAGCCTTCAACCCTACAGGACTCTGGAGACTACCTGTTTGTAGGTAGCCAGAAAATGGGAGCCATTGCTCATTCACAGGCTGCACTTAGGAGCACGTGGCTTTTCCTGAGGACCAGACTAAGCTGTAACAAGGAGCTCATGAAAGGAGAAGGAACTGTGTCTTGGATCTCTACAAGGTGGTTTTCCATACTGTTTGCCAGCAGGCACATGCTGGTCTAGTGATCTGATCATGTAAAAGTCTCTGAGAAACCTGGTGAGAAAACTGGGAGGATTTACCAAAACAACCGCCAGAATTCGACAAAAAGCCACGTAACTCCCTCAACATTTGTGATTCAGAGAATCTACAATCACAGCAGCTCACTCAAAACAGGGAATTCATCTCCCATGATATGTCACAGCAAGGACCTCTGATGACACACCTCTGTTTGCCATCGAGAGGAAGGAAAGGGAACAATCATGGGAGATGAAGTTCGATCCCACACTTCGCTGAAAAGGAGCGAGAGCATCAGGCAGTCAGCTGAGAAGCCTTGTGAAAAACCACGGCTCCGTTTGTAATGAAAATGTTGACATAATTCCATGTTCAGCTAATATATTTTCAGTTTGGAAGTGCTCAGGGCTTTGACGGAGTATTAACATTTTCTTTGGAAGGCAATCATTTTCCCAAAAGTCTAATTGAGTTGAAAATCAGACTCTTTATTTAAAAAAAATAATATAAGTGAGAACTGTAAGCCAGAACAGGCTTCAAAATTTAAGACTGACTGCTCCTCTGACTACCTGCCTCCCCACAGAATCACCACCCTTTAGGACACATATTCACCCACAAATTCTTCTGTAAAGCTAAATAGGATGGCCAAAAATTTCCTTAGGGATAAAAGAGCTGTGGAATATGTTCTTGATGCTACTCCAGGTCTTGGAAGGGCAGGAAGGAAATGTAGGTATGTAGGATAAAAAGGAAATCAGAGCTCAAGAAATGGATAAAAATCATAGTAGTTTTCCTTCTAAATTAAAACAAAAAAAAGCATGTTTTCAACAACATCTCTTCCATTATCCTGATCAAATAGGAGAAAAATCACTTTCAAGAAGCTTTTAATTCAGCAAGTAACCAATGAGGCAGATGAACTGGAGGCTAGAAAGGGAGAAAGGGTTTAGGGCAGAAAGGGAGCTATAAAGTTAACATAACCTCCTTCTGTATTATTTTACACACCTATAGCTCACAACTGTTCCTGAATTAATGGTTTCTTTGTTTTCTTTATTTTCTTTTTTACTCACTACCTCTGGATTAGGCACTTGAAAACACAGTGTCTGTGTGGACATCAAGGCTTTACCTGGCATTAACACACTGCCATAAATATCCAGGGCTGGAGCTCTGCTGATAACCCTTCATGTAGGGCTGTACCTGAGACAGCCTGGAGCTTGTCTGCACAGCACTCTTGGCTCAAGGCATGTTGCTCTTGGTTTGAGTTCTGCCCACACACACATAAAACCTCTTAACTTGAGCACAGTGGCACTTTCAACTCCGTTTGACTCGCCTGGGAGGGAGACAGGCTAAAATATAAGTGAAGTTCTCAGTCCTTTCTGTAATTCCTTCCATGTGCCCAGGCAAGATAAATTCTCCAATGGTACAGAACTCTGTAGCTCAGTTTACAGTGGTGCTAAGAATCATGCTAAGAAATGCCATACCTGAAGGTATGCAACATCAGTCATGGAAGGGAAATGTCACTGTGTGGCATTTCCACACCAGCCAAACTGACTCAAGAGGGGTAATTTGAGTGGAACCGGGCAACTGTTTTTCAAGGAGCACTAGTTTTGCCAGAATATAAAGTTTTTGAAGAATAAAACTCTCTGTGAAACTGGTATTTCAAATCTAGAGAATAGTTATAGCCAAAAGAACATGGGAAAGAATGTTGAAAATGTCAAAAGACTTCTTTTTCATGACTTTCAAGGAAAAAAGAAACCAAACTTGTCAACTTTTCGTTTCTAAAGAGCATTTTTTATTTTGGAACTGACTTGAACTCTTGAAAACAAAGGGAAAAGTTCTTCAGAGGGTAAAACAATAAAAAATTGTTTAGCTGATCTGAAATTAATTTTCCTATTTTCCAATTTTGTTAAACTTCTCTTAAAAAGAAATTATAGTTTATATTAGGGTGAAGCAGAAGATTGGGCTTTCTCTATCTTGATCACCTTATTGGACAAAACACCTTTTCATAGAGCCATAAACTTGGTAAGACATAACTCAAATCAGATTTAGGATAAAGTCACTGCTACAGACAGCCAGTAAATATCTGTATCTGGTGGAGCAGGATTCAAATTTCAGCAGTGAGAAAGGAAAATAAACCATGAGTAACATAACCAATTGACTGCACCTCAACAGAGGACAAGCTTTAACAAATTAAATCAGCAAAATAAGCAAAACGAGCAGATTCCTTTCTGTTTCTTTTTTTGTTTTTTTTTTTTCCTTGTTTGATCTTGGCCATTCAGAGTATCCTTTCTATCCCTGGCTAATTATAGGAGTTCTGCTCTGGAGTATTCTGTATCTGTCATCACACCTGATGCATTGGGTATGACTTCTCTTTGGCATGTGAAACTCTGCTACAGACTGTACTTCTTTCCTTTTTGGGTCTTGGAGATGGGAAAGTGTAAGAGTGTGATACAAACCTGCCGCTCAGGGAGCCAACTCCATGTGATGTCTAGGAAGCGTGAAATCCTTCCCTGAGCACACAGTTATGCACCACTTGAATTCCACAAATGTCCTTAAAACAAGTCTCCTATAAAATTTAAGGAATGTGCCTCGACCGCATTTCGTTTTTTCTGCAAATGCCATTTTCAGAAATGTCATTCAGAAATGTCACCATCACGTTCAGCTCCTCACTGAACCTCCTTTCTATCTTATTTGGTGTGTGTAGAAAGCGTGGTGATGCACTGAGGCTCTGAAAAGCCTTTTTTTTTGCATTGGCATTGACACAAACGACTGTTAACATAAAAAAAACGTAGCTGCTCACTTGTGCTCTGCTGGCTCACGGCTCCAAAAGCCTCCCTCTATCAGGTACAGCAAACTTTGCCATCACTTGCTATGCAGGATTTCTATTTTGTGTTAAGCCACACTCATTTTCCATCCCAATCCATTTCAACTGTATCCTTTTTTTTTCTCCATACACAACATCTAATTAACCTATTGAACGGTTTTTTCCCCAGTGGATCATTAAGGCTAAAAAAGGTCATCTGGCTATCCCAAATTTGTACACTGGAGCAGAAAATTAAAGATCTATGGTAGCATCATACAGAACTAGTCATTTGGTCAGCAGGAGGACTTAAGACATTTGTTTTCCTGTAGTTTTGTGGATTTTGTAGCATCTAATACTGTTGTTGAGCTAATTTAGTGGGCTCTTCCCCCGTGAAGAGGGAAGGGCAGTTAGGAAACCATCAGGCCACACTTCTAAAGAATTTCAGATTACCAAACACACGTTTAGGAACGAACAAGATTTTTAGAAACCTAAGGATCAAAGTGATGTTGGTCTTAAAATCCCACTTGGCATCTCTCTGCAACTCAGGTCAAAGCAGACCTTTGAAGATGTTTACAGACCTTTAGTAATCTGCCTGAAATGGTCCTCAGTGACACTGGAATGTTCAAGAAAAAATATTTTGCTAATGTGTAGCCTATTCTATATATTTCAAATGGGGAGGGGAGGGCTGGGTTTTGTTGCAGCATTCTCAGAAATATCTACAAATAGTCAAACCAGAAACTTGGCATTTAGTCTCAGCTACTTTCCCAAATGGACTGCAGGAATTTGCACAGACAAATCTGCTGCTGAAGCCAGCAAGGGTTTTACCATGAAAGGTCCCAGTCCTGCACTGAGAATTACTCCTCCATTCAAACACACCCCTAAGAACTCCTTGCACAATCCTCACTGCAGCTTTAGACAAAAGGATGTGAAACAGGTAAATAATGATGCAAGAACAGGCAAAATGCATATCTGGAGCCATTTAAAACAGATGTGACTGGGCACTGTGCATGTCATTTTGACACATCACCACTCCTTCTTGCAGAAGATGAGATTAGATGACTCACCCCAACAAACTTCCTGAGAAATTCCCTGGAGGATTCAACGTCTGTGTTGGAGAGCTCGATGTAGTCTCCCATCATTCCCTCTTCCGTGGCTGGCACATCCCGGTAGAAGTGCTTGGCCCTGGCGTAGAACTGCATCTCCCCATTGATGACTTGACTTGTCAAAGCATAAAGTTTCACTGCAAGCAGATAAATCACTATTTTATTGTTAATGACAGATATTTCTGGTTTAGTTAATGGCACAATGACAAAGATGTATGAACTGAAGTTGAGCCTTCAAACCACCAGACCTGTGTCTGAAGCAACGGTGGAAGGAAAGGTGTTGGATTTAACCCTAGGAGACCTTGAAGGGACACAGTCTTTCTTGGGCAAATTCAGTGCCTCCCAGGCTCAGAGGGCACTTTTGTCATCCTTATATGTGTTCATGTCAGTGCAAGATCATTTCAAGTTTGAAGTGAACACACACACCAAAGAGAGCAAGGAGTCTGAATTTTCCCGGAAAAGCTGTGGGTGGCATTTATTGCTATCCAGAGTCATCATTTCTGTAATCACAAACCTCACTGTTGTGCAGATTTCCAGATATGCTTTCCAGCCATTGACAGCTGCACAGAGAGTGCACCAAGAGGAGAGTGGATGAATGAGGCACTTGCTCTGGTTTATTTTTAGTGATACTGTACAGCCTGTGGCACTGCAAGTAAGCTGAACCAAGGCACAGATGATAGTCTCAGGCCTAGATAGGTATACAGGAGGGGAGAGAATTTAGGAGAGACAGTCCTAAATTTTCATCTGTCACAGATCAAGGAGCAAGGTAATGAGTGGGTGATATACTGGAAGGTTCCTGTGTGCCAGAGGCTTGGATGTTTCTTTTCATTGCTTGGCTACTTTGATGGTAATATAAAGCAATCAGTAGTTTAAAGCTTGTTTTATTAAAACCCGTGAGCTTTGCTGGCTAAAGGGCTATTTCCCCCTATCTTTTAAAAAGCTGAGGTCTATCCTCTGCATCCTGGGTTCTCCTATATTTGTTGTGCATCAGCATATCCAAAGCAGTTGTGTTTTGCAGCTCAGAAGTTTGGATTAAGGCAGGCTATAAAATTTGCTCGGAAACCACCCCCTCTGACTATCCCACGTGCACATACAAGTGCCCAGGCATTTTCCTGTGTGCATGACAGACCTTCCAACACAAACACAACTGCGAGCCTGACAGAGAATGCCAAGTAATAAGGAGGGATAGAGTCACACTGGGAACAATTCCTTGTGAGCACCACCTTGCAGTGTGAGACCAGCTCTGCTGCAGGTTCCCTGTGTGCTCGAGGAACTGGAAATGATCCAGCAGCAAACACCTTTTGGGTTAATAACAAGAGGAAGGGAGATCTCCCAGCCACTGCACACACAGCAGGGCCAGGGAGCAGTGCCTGGTCACTGCATCTTTAAACTTCCCCAGGAGCACTGCCAATCACTGCTGGAAAGGGTCTGAACAGGCCATGCCTTGCTTATGCCAGCTGGGGAGCAGGAATTATGCCCTCCACACAGGGGATGAGAGTTAGGCCAGAGGCCCTGAATATAAGCCTGGAATGTATTTATTGAGGGCAAGCAAGCTCAGCAGGGAATGATAAGTGTGTGCCTGCCCATCCTCAGCAGGAGAATGACATTTTGGAGGCAAATGAGGGGGGGGACAAAGGAAGTGGGATGGGGAATAATTACCACCAAGGACCACTAACAGAATAGTGCTATTGGGTTACACATAAGCAGCATGCCCGGCATATCCTTCATCCAACAAAAGCAGCATTACAGCCCCTCTTGTCATCACCTGCTTAAGTCAACTGCTGAACGGATACTATTAAAGCTTTAATCCATTACACATTTATGTTATGCCTGAGAAATTTATACCACAAGAAGCACTGAGCCCAGCAAGGGTCAAACCTGAGAGTTTTACACACTCTGATTATATTCACATACTCAGAAGAAACCATTTAGCTGAAGAAATTAATACAAAGGGGGCAGCAGCCAATCCCCAGCACAACTTGGCCAGGGTGGTTCCCAGAGCCTGGGAAAAGGACTCCATTGGTGGCTGTGATTCTTCCAGTAAGTGATCTCCATCTTTCCCCAGGAGTGGCAACATCTTGTCTTCTGTGTGTCTCCTTTTGCTCCATTTCAGAGGCCAGCCTGTCTGGTGAACAGAACTGAATCCCTGCATGGTGGCTTTGCAAGATCTTCCATGTAAGAGTCCAGTGATGATTCCAGGGCTTGTTTAATGGACCTGTCAAGGGACAGTGATTTATCCCATTTTGTTAAATTGAAGGGAAAGGCTTTTACAGGCTGTCTGCACAACAGGACAGCATGAACAACAAATATTCAGAGTCCTTCTACTCAAAACATGAGCCTGACCCGAGGCAACACATGGGGACGATATGCTGTCCAGGATAGCAGATCTGTAGTGTGTGCTCTCAGATTTCTCACTCAGAACCAGTATCAGGCTTGCAGGATTCCTGCCGGGACTTGCATGCACACACCAGCTGACTGCAGCTCCTCCCAGGCCAGCTGGGGCCCCAGAGCCCTGCCTTACGTGCTGGCATCCAAAACCAGCTCTGGGTCAGCATCCACAGGGGCTTCTCCACGCATGAAACTGTGCAAAGATCTTTTTATGCACGTCTCCCACCCGAGGGCATGCAAGGACACAGGCTAACATAAAGACTGGCACTGTACTCAAAGTCTTCTCCTGTGGACCCACAGTCTCACTCACGCAGTGTGAGATTTCTAGAGGTGATTTTCACCTCTTGCTCCCTCAGTGTTACTCCTCCCTTTCAGGAATTTGCAGCACTGCCAAGTCTCCCAATGCACAACCCAATTTTCCAGACACAGCCAATCAGCCTCCCCCCTGGTCTGCCTTGAAGCTCTGCCTGGCATGCAGCTCCAGCAGCAGATCCACAGGGAGAGGGAGCTTTGCAGCTTGCAGGAATCTACCCCAAAAGAGAAGTGCATGGAGGCACTACAAGTCCTTGGTGGCACTCAGTGCTGCAGCCCTGCTCCAGCATGTCTCCCCCTCATCACAGGGCCTATCTAGCCAGAGGCATCTCCCTTTCCATGACCCATGTGGGACTATCTTGTGCATCAGGAAATGAAATACTTGTGAGGCCTGTTACAGATACACAGCCTGAGTTCAATGAACTCTGTAAAGTAGGGCAAGGGCAAGATAGGACGATGGAGGCTCTCAGACATTATAGAGTGGGCAGCTGTCTAACATATGAGGTTTTCTGTGTTAAGGCAGGTAACTTGTAAGATTTAAGGTTAGAAATGTATTTCCAGTAAAGTAAGAAGAAACCTTTTCCATGGCACAGTTGTCCCTTGGCTGAATCTGCTGGCAAGTCCCCCAAGTGGAGACAGTTAAAGCAAACCCACTGCAAAATCAGGCTGAGGGCAGGAACTGGCTCCCTAAAGGTCACTCCAGTCATGAGACATTAATAATTTTCAGTCACTGCAAACACAGTCTGGATGCAGAGTGGTGATCTACAGCTGAATGCCAATGCGTGAACTAGACAGACACAACCCACCTGAGCCTTCTGCCCTGCAAAGTCCAAAACATTATCTCTAATATTTCCTTATGGATCAGTTAAAAATGTTGTATTCCAGTGCATCTGGTCCAAATCTTTAAAGAAACCAACCACTTAATAAAGAATTTCGGGTGCAATCCCAACCTGCAGTACACTGGCCTACAGTTCCTGGTTGCAGGGCTTACTCAGCTAAATTTCCCTGGCAGAAGTAAATGCTGCAAGTAATTTTTCTGAAGTTTTTATTTCTGAACATTATTTAGTGGCTCCAACTGCTTTCTGCAAGATACTGAACTAATTCCAGTTTGGCTGAGTGTTCCCTTCTAAATGCAACATCTGCTTTGTGCATCAGTTGAAAAATAGTTATCTGTGTGCAGGGTAGAATTTACCTCTCAGCTGTGGTCTAAGAACCATGTAAATTCTGTTTTATAGAGGATGAACATCATCCCGCCCCCAGAGCAGATTTTACTTACAGACACGTGCCTCACACACAGGAATATTTGTCTCCAGGGATGGATCATCTAAGTTTTCCACTGCAGATCTCACCCCACTGGCACCGAGTCCCACAGCCCATGTAAACATGTGCATAATTTCCAGCATCTGAGTAGCTCCATTAAAGTCCACTGGGCTTAAGGGCACTCACACACATTTAAGTACATTGTTGGACCAGGGCCTAAAGTTACTCATGTCTTTTATTTATAAATGTTACCCTGGTCTGTAAAAGTGACATGTTTCTCTTAACAGGCTGTGATACCAGATATGCTCAGCTCCTAAGTAAACATGACTGAAAGTGCTCCACCACTGAACCTGGCAGTGGAGTGGGGGGAGCATGGAGTTAGCATAGCTTGAAGGAAGCTTTGTACCTTGCTGACCCTGGGCAGCACTGCAAGATTCAATGTGAGGCTTGATTTCAGCATTATTATTCATGCTTAGGGTTAAGGACATGCTTAACTACCCTGCTAGGTCACAGTCTTCTGCTAAACGACTAAAGTGCTGCTTTAGTTGTTTAATATACTGTTTACACAGAGATATCTGGATCTAGTCTTGAAGCCTGAGAAGTTCAGTTCCATTCTGCTCAGCTCTACTTTGAACTGAACTGGAAAATGTCATTCTGCAAAGATGTTCAGACCTGCCACATTCTGTCCTTTCCATTGCAGCACTGGATCACAGGATAATCCAGGTTGGAAGGCACCTCAGGAGATTTAATCCAATTTATGCTCAAAGCAGGGACAGACATGACAGCAGACGAGGTTCCCCAGGACTTTATTCAGCTAGATTTAGAAAGCCTCCAGTGACAGACAATTGCATAACTTCACCAAGCAACCTGTTCCAATGCCTGACTGTCCTCTCAGAAAAGGAGTTTTTCCTTATACCCAGTCTGAACTACTTTTATTTTGATTTATAGCCACTGTCTCTTGTCCTCCTGCCTCTACGCAGAGCTCAGCTTCATCTTCTTCATGATCTTCTTGTAGGTACTAGCAAGGTGATGTTTGGTCTCCCCTCTGGCTGAACATTCCCCATTCCCTTAGTCTGTCTTCACAGGGCATGAGCTCCAGTTCCCCCACCACCCTGGAGGTCCATCCAGCTTGCTCCAGGTCACTTCCTGCATCGGGAGTTCAACACTCCACAAATGTGGTCCAATGACTGCTGCAGACAAGGGGATAATCACTCCCCTTGATCTCCCAGCCATGCCTTTGTTATAACATCCCGGGATACTGGTGGCTGCCTCTGCTGCCAGGACACGCTGCTGCTTCACGTTCAGTTGCTGCCCAGCAAAACCCAACCAGTGGGGCTGCTCCCCAGCCAGTCCCTGCCCAGCCTGTGGTGCTGCTATTTTTCTTTCCAGGTACACGGCCTGGCATTTGGCTTTGAATTTGAGTGAATTTGAATGGTACCAGTTTCCCACTGTCTCCTTCCTCCAGCCTATGTAGGTGCCTCTGCATGGCAGTCCTGACATGTTGTGAAGTTCCCTGGATGTGTATTCACAGTGCACGAGCTACCTGACAGTACCTGTCCTCATGCCCACTTTTCCCTCGTGACAATAACCATGGAGTGACACATATGGCATGTTCACAGGAAGCCTGGGCTCACAGTCCATTTTCCATGGAGCCAAAGCAATTTGGATAAGCTGGCAACAGGCTTGTAAGCTCTTTAGTGAAGTTTCAATGAGTCAGGGCATGCAAAGCCTGGCAGAGGGGATCTCTAGTCTGATAGGAACATTTTACACAGCTTCTTGGCTGGGAATGGAAATTCAAATAAAATTCAGACAAGAAATAAAATATAGTTTTACAAGAGTGAAGCAATTAGGCCTGGAAACAGCTTAATGGTGACTGATGGACTCTCAGCTATTTGAAGCCCTTAAACCAGGATATTTTTGTTTTCATAAATACATACTGTTACCCAGACATAAGTTACAAGCTGAATGCAGAACTTTTACATGAAATACTAAGCTAGATGGTCATAATGGTATTTTCTAACCTTAAAATGATCTATTGGTACTTACACTAACAGTTAACAATGTAGAAAATCCTGCTCAGTTTCTAATATGTTGTGTTTATTTTCAAAACAATGAAAGAATAACATTTTCATAGACTTCATGAGACTTCATGGACCTGTAATTGACTTCTCTTCCTTTACATCTTTCCTTCCTGTCCATCATTCACAGCTACCTACCACTAAGTATAGAGCTATTTATCTTCCACCTTTCATCTCAAATAGCTGCAGATATTGCTGCATTGAAAAAGCCCCATCAAAATACTAAGATAACAAACAGAAATGCTTTTTTCTCTTTACAGGACTAGTGAGTTCTACCCTCCTGAGCAGAGTTCTCACTGGGATCTGTATCATTCACACAACCAGGTAAGATAATCCTCTCACCTAAACGGATCAGTCAGTTAGGAAGGAGCTCTCAAGAGTTCACTGTGAAGAGCAGTTTAACAGATGCAGAGACTCATCCTTTCCATCTTTAAATTCTTACAGTTCTGACATTGAGTGTAGGCTGAATAATTCTGTTTAAAACAGAATGACTTGCTAATGTAATACAGACTCAAGTCAAATCTACTTTTTAGCTATATTATCCTATGGAAATTTTCTTTCTTGTTCAGGGTCAAATTTTCATAAAAAGTGAACATACATTTTCTGCATCTTAAAAAAAAAAAATGTCTTGGGTATTCTGTACCAGAGGCTGTTACTGGAATTTGTCTATAAACAAATGTTTTAGAAGCATTTTCCTCTCAGAGAACAAACTTTAGGCTAGACAGCCTGCTGCAGAGATCAGGGTAAAGAAGACTCTTGAAAAAAAATTTAAATCATTACCTTCCAAGTGCTTGTCCAAAACAATACAAACAACAGGGCTAAGGACACCCAGAATGACAACAAAACATGTATCAGGCAACAGAAAGTAAGGCCTGTCAGCTCTGCTAGTTTTGCATTTGTCCTTCCAAGTTCCAAACAGGTCAAAGCGTGTTTTACTCAAACGGTGACAAAAAAAGGAACTGTCTGCCAGACACCAAACCTTTCTTTCACTCTGGTCTTTCCCTTGCCCTCTTCTAACAATTCCTGGAGTACTAAGGTAAAACAACAGGGTACTAAATCAGAGGGAGCTGAGAGAGAGAGAGTGCCAAACGATTCTGGGTTTCTCTAAACTACTACACTTACTGCCATTAATGTGTCTGCCCTCTACCATAAAACATGATACACCTTCCCAGAGCACGGTCACACACACACAGACACTCCTGCCCACTGGCTACTCACCCAGGGGAAGCTTCTCCAGCAGATAAAGGTAACACTTAAAGAAGTCATTTTGGATGGCCTTGTGCAAGACAAAGGACATGCTGTGGCGACAGAGTTCTTCGTCGGTCTTGTGCCAGCGCGACTTGAAGGCCAAATGTGCTGCTTTATACGCCATGATGAAGATGTTTTGTGAGGGTGGACAGCTGCTGTGGCTGGTGCTCTCTGCAGGACCTGTCCTGCTGAAGAGGCAGAGGCAGTGTCATTTAAATTGTGGCAATGTGCTGTCATTCTATATCGGGGTGTGTGCCGAGAGCGGGCGCAGGGGGCGGAGGCGGGCGAGGGGAGTGAGAAATGCTGGCTCTTGGCACTGGCTCACAGCAAGCTGTGGAGTGTCGCCCTCTGAGACAAGCAGGTGCTGGAAAGTGGGAAAAAAAATCACCCAGGAAATTGCTTAGCCAGGGTAAAAGTATATCTACTCCAAGAAAGAGTAGCTTTAATTCAATTACACTTCTCCTAATCTATTCATCCTTCACTTCAAAGGAACTCAGATATTATCCAGGATCTCCCTCTTTTATATCTCACAGGGTGGTTTTGTTTCTGTGTGTCTCCCTCACTATTAGTTCCTCAGTCAACAGGAAGGCCAGAAGGCAGAACACGGACGTGCCTCTACACAAACTGTGTCCTAATAAACTGTGATTATAGCAAGCAAAGAGAAAGCAACAGATTCAGCTTCAGGCTTTGTCACTGTGTGTGACAGGGCAAGCTACTTTCTACAATTTGCCTGGGCTCATTTAATCTGGTTAAATCATATAGACTACCTCATCAGCAGGGACTACCTGGAAGGACTACCTTTCTGGCAACACAGGAATGATAAAATCAGGGAAAGATAAGAGCTTTTTGCTTTAGTTAACAAAATACACAGAAGAACAAAAGGAGATAAACTTCCTGTTGACAAACGTGGACAAATTTCTTGTCTGGGAAAGAGCAGGTTCAGGCCACTACATAAAGGGGGCTGCATACCACAAGTATGTCCCATCCCCGAGGAGGCTCAGGCCCTCAAGGGACAAGGAGAGACAAGTACTGCTTCAAAACCTTGTTTGTCCCTTGGCAGTTCAGGCTCTTGGTGTGGTACAGCCTCAAGACTCTGGAGTTGCAAAGGTACCTGGCAAGGGGATAAGGACTTTGTACTGACTGCACTGACCTCCACACAGTGTGCCCAGGAGTGCTTCTTTTTTTCAGGCTGTTTTTCCAGCTGTCTGCAGTGTAAGCAAACTATGATGCAGCAACACAGAGTCAGGAAGTTGGATGTTTCCAACACAAAAGGGCTGCCATATGTCCTGAGCAGTACTGCAACCTCCTGACAAATATCTGATCAAGCTTCTAAGAGCAGCATAAGGATGACCCAGCCTTTACCAAGGAAAATCACTAGTAATTTGGCTACAGGTTTCCTCTTGGAGCAGTCAATCTCTGTTTCTCTGCTTTGATATTACTTATTCAAAGTATTTAGGGGCAAAACCACCCCGGCCTTTTTTGTTTCCTTAAACTACCATCCTGTACTACTCATTCTCACCTAACTGCACTGGCACATGCTCCCCCAGCTGCTCCAGTCTACGTGATTGTGCAAATGTGTTGGTGAACAGATCAATGAATAAATCTTATTCAGAAAAATATACTTATTTTTCTTTCAAGTGGGATCAGTTCCCCAATCCAGCCCACAGCTGACGCAAGGGAATTTGTCATGTGCTGCACTACGGGGGCTGGAGCAGCCACCTGGGATGGCAATGTGGAGGAGGGAGCCATCCAACAACAACACACAGTGGGCTTATCAATAATGTAGCTCTCCCTGCTTCATCCTGTCAGAGAGGTGTGCCCAAGGGGGTTCCACAACAGCCAAAGGTGATTTAAGTAATGGAAGATATGTTTCTACCTTTCCACTCCTTCCTGCTTGCATATTCCCTTGTTGAGGTGTCTGCTGGGACATTCCAGGCTTTTTTTGTCTGGTTAGCACTATGAACAAGCTCAGTGCAGAGTTTACAACTGCCAGGGAAATGCAAGAGGAAGGCAGAAATGTGCAGCTGAGGATGGGATGGAGAGAGTGGGATCATGGGGGTGGTTACATCAGCTCTAGTGCCACTGCACCAGAGTCTGAGCCCTTCCTTGAACAGAGGGTGATGTTCCTGCAGCCTTAGAAATTCCCTTGAAATAACTCAGTCTCAAAATTCCTCCCAGTTATGTATCTATCAGAGAAACCAGGCTCTCTTCAACTAATTCTGAAGTATCTGGGCCCAAACACAATCCTGGTGCATGTCTTGGTTTTCTCACAGATCTGACCCTTTCCCTTTGCTTATCTATTTTCAGCCACTCACCAGTCAGCGTGCCAGGAACGGATGTGTCAAGACAGCACGTTAATGCTTTGGAAAGCAAGCTTACAAAAGACACCCCTAGAAGTGTCAGGACCCACCTGTTCAGCATTTGACACCATGTTTCACATCTGTCATGGCTGCAGTTTTGGCAATGCCTATTGTGTAGCAAAGTGACCCCTCTGCTTAGAGACAGCAGTGACTCCAAGCATGAAGCCCAAGCCCTGACGTGTCCTAGTGGAGTCAAATGGTGGGATAGGACTATGGAGGGTTCTGGGACCACAGCCCCAGGAATCCCCATAGCTCTGACAGTCAGGAAGTCCACGCGGGCCTCGGCTTTTAGGTGTGCCAGGAGGATGTGAAGCATGAAGGCAAAACAATGCATTCTCTGTAATTTTAATGCCCTGCTAGTGATCTTCTCATAACATACTCTTCCTAGTCCACGTTCCTTAGGAAAACAGCATAACAATCATGTTTTGTATGTCTCTGTCGCTGACTTTTACTACCCCACCACCAATCAACATTTAAGCCTCTCTATCTCAAACAGATCCCAGAACTATTTCAAAGATTGCATCAAAACTGTAGATGAGGTAGAGAGACAGGTCTCATCCTGGTGTCACTCAGCAAGGTGAGCCTTGCTCTTATGAGACACTGTAAAACCCATAAGGATGGTTGGGCACATCCACACTTGTCTTTCCATGGCACCATTCTCAACCACCCAACACAAATGTGTCAAAAAAAACCAGTTCTGAAAAAAATAGGATTAGTTCACAGAAACTGTGAACAATGCCAGGACTACAACATGCCCCACATTTACATTAACAAGAACTGTGGGGCTTGAGTATGGGCATGCTGGCACCCATGCTACTTGTAGGATCACTACTGAAAAGTTTAGTTACCCTTCTAAAACAGCTATTTAGCTTTTCCTGAAGTTGAAGCCAGCTAGCCAGCCTTCCTCTTGGTAGGAGGGACAGTGGAGAATCTGGACCTCTGGACAAACTGAAGCCCTACACTAAAATAACAGTCTACACATCCATAATGCATGACAGTCCTTGGCTTCAACAGCTTTTAGTCTAAAATAAGAATGTGCTTGTATTTATGTGGGTAATAAAATAGTTCCTCTGTGTGTCTTCCTCTTCCTCCCCGTGAGATCAGGCAGTTCTAGGGAGGGTTTAGCATGGATTATAATAAAGGTTCAGCTAGAGCAGCTTCTCGTTAAAAGACCTTTAGCTGATCTCTGCCTGAGAGCAGCAGGTTTAAAATAAGGCATCAGATGGCTTATGATGAGTCGTGCAAGATCCAAGGTGGATCTGGTTGTTGGAGCATCGGGGTATTTAAAGAGAAGTTGTACTGGCCTTTGCATTAGTAGGTAACCACCTGTCTGTGCAGAGCTGAGCTGTACACACCACTTCTGAAACACATCAACTGCACAGCAACGAAAAACAAAACCATGTGCACCAGCTCAACATATCACACAGATCACAAAGGGTCAATTTTGCCCTTAAATTACTGTGTTCTGCTTACAAAACACCTGGTATGCAATCCAATTTCCACATGGACAAACCATCAGAATTGCTGTAAGATGTCTCCTTACCTTAAAAAGGCCTCTATTAATTCTTCTCCCTCACACTCATGCCTGGCATATGCTGTCAGGAATAGATGTGGTTAAAGCAAGTAATTTTTTTTTTATCTTTGACAACAAGACTTTAAAAGTTCCTGAGAACCACAGGATGATGTTGACAGAAGAGGCACAGGCAGAGAGCACACGTGCAGTTGTGAGGGCAGAGAAGAACAGCTGCAGGTTGGGTGGCAGGTGGGAACCTTTACAACTGACTGCTGCTGCCTGGATTGTTCTGCTGCAGCTTCGGGGGCTTATTCAGAGCAACAGTGAACACCCATGTCTGGGTGTCAGGCTGGAAAACACTAATATGACAATGGATGCATTAATTGTCTGACTTTCTTAGTCACAATCCTCACCCACCTAAACTCTGCTCATGGGTCCAATTAGACTTAGCAGTTTTCAAAAGTATTACTATGAAAGTAATTTGGTTTTGAGTTGACTGTAGAACTGACAAAAAATAGTGGTTTGGGTTGATGAGAAACTGAAATATTTCCCTTTTCTCACCCGGAAAAAAAATTTCTGTTTCAGGCCAAACAAAATGTTTTGTTTGTTTGCAGGGCTATTTCCCTTCTTCAAATTTTTATTTGTTTGTTTGTAATCAAATTTAGGTAAATTTAGTTTCCGCCTTTCATTTACAAGGGCAAACAAGAACAATGTTGTTGTCACCAGCAGACTGATCAGTCTTGCAAAATCACTCTGTGAAAAATGACCCAAGGAAATGCAGAGCAAAACAGGTCCTTAGGCAAAGACCCAACCTTGGGATAGACTGCTGATGTCTCAGGAGAAACCCTTTCTTTGAACCACATTTCCAAAGCAGAGTTCACTGCCTGTAGGTCAGGATGACTCACACCCTTCAGGGCATATCCTGCACAATTCCCAGGCGCTTTCACGGGTGCAGTCACAGCAGCAATCTGTTATCATTTACACAATTGGAATTTAGCAATCTGGAATTCCATCTAAAGCAACTAAAGACAGCATGTGAGCCCTATGGGTAAATACATTATAATTCATGTAAATGAAATTGGCCAGAGCTCTGTCCCTGTGGAGGGAATACAGACTTCTTTTCCTCCAATCCTTCTAGCTCTGGTGCCAACACTAAATTACTTTTTAAAGGGAGTGAGAGAAGCCCCTCTTAGGTAAGAGAGGGAGCCTGTCTCCTCATGTCCCAAGCACAGCCACAGTCACAGCAGGACCCTGATCTGGAGATCC